CACCCAAAGAAAAAATTATGATGGTGTTAAAAGGAAAATGGAAAGGTATCCGATTATTTTTTGATGAACCAAAAAATCCCGAAGATCCCGAAAGATTAGCAAGATTTATTAGTAATGATGATTGGCATCCTTCAAGACGTACAATTTATCGTATCATGAAAGCTCAAAGAAATCAAATACCACAAATAGAATGGTGGATTGAATTATTTCCAAAGTATAAAGAATACTTTGAACTTCAATTTAATGATGAATTAATAAGGAAAATATTAAATGAAAAATATGAAGCGAGACAAGAGAAACGTAAAAATAATTTAAAGTCGTCTTCATAATAATAATTAATGTTTTTAAAATAGAGAATTTTTTTTTAAGTGATTTTATTCTAATTGTATTTATAAAATAAAATATTAAAAAATAAAAAATGTTTGTGTAAAACCAATTTGAAATAAAAAAATTAATAAATTGCCTTTGGACGGTAATAAATATAAATATATTTGTTTAAGATAAAATAATTTGCATTTATATAATAAATTTATAGAAACTTTATTATTATTATTTTTACACAACAACTTAATAATTACTAACTTATTTTTTCTATATTACTGTTTCAAATGTTAATGGAAGAAAGTATCCCAATGAGATAATTAATTCTTATATTATATATTATGCATTTTTATTAATATAGAATTTCAACTAGAATATATCAAATTATTTTTGTATATAATCTCCCCTTGGAGCTCAATGTCACACTTCATAACTGCTGTTACTAGTTGACTTTTTTGGCTAATTTTATTTTCCAAAAGGAGGTTATAAATATAAACTAGAAAATAGAGGACTTAGGATTTATGCAGGCAATTATACTAAAACTAATTATTTAATTCAGGTGAGCAATTTAAGAAAGTAGAACTAAAAGTTAAAAATATTTATTAAGGAATTACAAAGTATTAACAAGAGTTTATAAATAAGAATTTATATTTGAAGAATATAAATTAATAAGAAAATAACA